GAGGTAGGTATCCAGGGACCACCATTTCTAGTAATTTTATAAGAATTGAAAAAATTCAGTATTTTAACAATTTCTATATTCCTTCTTGTTCTCTTTCTTCTACTGAAAAATCTGCCCCCATGTTAGAATAATATTTATGGATATAAAAGAAAGTAGGAGAAAATATTAAAACATTCTGAGTAATTTTTAACTTTTCTCATTATAATATATCATTGATCAATATCAATAATACTGTTTTGTTCTTTATTCTCCTTTTACACTTTGATTCTTAATTAGGTGTTATGGTTTATATCTAGATGTTCCTCTAAAGCCTCATGCAGTCATGGGGGCAGACTTTTCAGAAGTGGGTAAATCTAATGCTTGTGATTGATTCATGGTCTATTGCTGTGATTTAAATATATGAGTGCTACTTGCCCTAGAGCAGGTAGCCTTCATACAGTATATGAGACGGAGAGAGGCTTCTCTTATGTTCTTTTGCTTGCTTTTCCTGCCTTCTGCTGCTCCTCTGACTTTTGCCACCCTGCCTTGGAGCCTGCCAATTGTAGGCTGAGACCTCTGCAAATTATGAACTAAAATAAGCCTTTCCCTTTTAACTTTGGATGTCAGATATTTTGTCTCATCAAGGAGAAAGGTAACTAAGACAGAATTTGTGCCAAAGAAGTGGATTCATTGCTATGATTCTACCTGACCATGTAGTTTAGGAGCCTTTAGAGCTGGCTTATAGAGTAGAAAGAGTTAGCAAAGGTTTGGAGATGCTGACTGAAAAAGCAGAGCTGTAAAATCTGAGGTTATCCTGTGTGGGAGATTCTATTCGAAGCTTAGAAGATCAGAAAGCTATTAAAGATCAGACTGAAGGGCTTTCCACTGGGGAGAAGAATTGCATTGATTGTTGGACTTGATGTGTTGTGTCTTGGCAAAAAAAAATTGTCTGAATTTTGCTTCTGTCAAAAGACTTTGCTTGAGAATGAGATTAAGGGTTGCAGATTAGTTAATGTGGCAGAAGAAATTTCAAGGCAGTGAAATATTGGGAGGATGTGACCTGCCTACTATTGGGAATTTTTTGACCGGATTTATATTGAGAATCAAGAGCAAGGATCCCAGGAGCATGATTTAAAACATTGTGAGATTGCCCAGAAAGCTCCAGTAAATCTGTGGGCTGCAAAGATAGAGCAGAGGAGAGCTTGATTTCTGTGAAGAAATGGAAAGAGGAAAAAGCCTGAGGGCATGGCACAAAGCAGCAGGACTTTACCATTTGCAGCCTCAAAATTGCAAAAGTGAAAGAATTTACTACAAGAAAAAAGCCCCAGAGCATCATGATCCAGAATAGCAGCAGCATAGAAAATTTGTTCCTCGGAATTAGACTCAGAGTGCTCAGTGATCCAGACACTCTACCATCACAGCCAAGAAAGAGGGAAGCCTGAGTACCACTCCATTCAGCAGAAGACCATGGCATGATCCATGTGGCACTGGTTTTGGGTGCATGCAGAATGGAAGAGTTGTTGGGTCAAGAAGGTTTCTACCCAGATCTCAGAAGATGGCCTGGGAAACCAGGAAGTTTGCCCTTGATAGGGCAGTGTGTGCATCTGTGAGTGTGAATTAAAAAGATGCAGTGAAGACTCCAGAAGTTTGGAAAAGCCAAAAACATGGATTGTCTTGAAAAAACTACAAAGAGCACAGTGGGCCCAAGAAAGTCATGGGAGCTACGGCCCCCAGAACTATCAAGGGGGCAGAGCCACCCAAGTCCTTTGGAGTTCACATTTTGCTACAGATTGCTTTGGATGCTGCACATGGAAATGCAGGGCTTAATGTTTGCCCTCACTTTGATCTCATTCTTTTGTATCCCCATTTGTAACTTTTGGAATGGAAGAGTCCATCTTATGCCACTGAATGTTGGAAGTGTTTAACTTTCTTTTCTTTTGTACAGGGGTTCACAGCTAAGAGTTTGCCTTAAATCTCAAAAGGACTTAGAACTTGGACTTTTCAGCAATGCTGAAATTGTTAGTACTTTGGCAACTCTTAGAGATGTATTAAATGCTTTTTGAGTAAAAGAATGTGATTGGGGATTCTGGGGAAGGATGTTATGATTTGTGTTGAGATTTGACCCTAAAGCATCATTCAGTCATGTGGTCAGAGTTGTCAGAATCCAGTGAATCAGAATTTGTGATTGACTTATGGTCCAGTGCTGGGATTAAGGGAGTGAGTACTATACCACGCTAAGGTAGTTAGTCTGCATGCACTGTAAGTGACAGAAGCTTGCCTCTTGAGTGTGTTTTGTTGATTTTGCTGTCTTCTACCGCCATGAACTGTTGCCACTCTGCCAAGTGTGACCCTCCCTTGGAGCCCGCTAATTAAGGACTAAGACATCTTCACACCATGAGCTCAATAAACTTTTCTTCCCTTTAACTTTGAGAAAAGTAACTAAGATCCAAGGTTTGACCAAAAATATAGTGAATGCTGCTGTGGAGTGCCATCCAGTAAAGAGGCAAGCTTGCAGAAACATTATATGTTCTCATCCACCTTATTCAATAGATCCAGCACCATGAATTTCCCGGCTCTTCGACAATCAAAGTGACCATGTTTTGAATTGATCCAGCACATTAAGGCAAACATGATGGTGCAGCTGAAGACATTCATGGAAAATAACTTTTAAAAAAAGGGAAAAGAATGATGAAATAAGTGTGCTTGTAGTGAAGGGCAGAATTTTGAGTGGGATTATTGAACTATAATTTACTATTATTTTACTGTATTTTTATTTAAATATTCACCATATTTTTATATCACATTTTATATGCAAAAGATTTTTTCAACTTCAAATCCAAATTCTGCCTATTTAACCCAATAAAATCATCTGAGACTTCAGTTTTCTTTTTTTACTGTATTTTATTCTATAGGACAAAATCAGATCTGATTTCTTGCTTTAATATGGGGAAAGAAAAAAGACCAAGTACAGACAGAAAAAAACAAATAGCATTTTATAAATATTATTCAAGTATACATCATAGACCAAGTGTGAAGCATCTGCAGTGGAAGCATGTGCTGTGTCTTAGCTACTTTACTTGTTGCTGGGACAAAATACCCTCACCCAAAATAAAGGAAGGAAAGCTTTATTTCTTACAGTTCTTGGAGGTTTCAATCCATACTCATTTGGCCCCAAGACAGGGTGTCCTGGTGGGACTGCTGTTCATGGCCACCGCAAATAGCAAGGCACAAATCAACAAGAGAAAGAGACACATCTTCCTGCCATTACATCATATCCTGGCTCCATCCCTGGGCCAGTGAAACACTCACACCACCAACCCAAGTACTAGACAATGAACCAATCACAAATACTAGATTTGGTCCAGTCCATAATTCATGAGGCTTGCAGGCCACTGACATAAACTGTGACATGCTGGATAAGGAGCAGAGTTTCAAAGCTGAATAATTTTGTATTGTTATTGCCTATATTTCACTGAAATTGCAGTTTCTTCAAAACTAGTGATTTTTCTTAGTGTGATGGTGGCATAAGCTTATAATTGTCACACTGGAGAAAGGGAGATAGGTGAGTTGTAATTTCAAGCCTTGCTGGGTGACTTAGCAAAAGTTCTTGTTCAAAATATTAAATAAATAAATAAATAAATAGGGCTTGGGCTGTCATTCAGTGATAAAGCCCCCGTGGGTTAGATTCCCAATACAAAAAGAAAAAGGCATAGTGTTCCTGACACTTGACAGAGATTTGAAGCTTTAGTCTTCCTGTCATTTGTGCTATGGAACGTTATCAAAGTCCTGTGTTCTGTTCACTGTTTATACAGTGAATTCATGTCCAAGCAAATTAGCTGTTCTGTTGATTTTGGCCAAAAGAGAATTTCCAGAAAAGGAAAGCAACATGTGACATTTCAGCAGAGATACTAATTGCTATCATTTAATGTAGGGTAACCAGGAGCAAGATTCTACCATGTTGGTAGGACCATGTTCTTTCATGTCTTTCCCAGATGCTCTATCCTACCCCAACTGGCACTGGAGAAGACGTTTTGGATAGAGGCAAGGAGAAGTTCCATGTAACCACAGTTAAAGACCATAGGCCCTTCTAGCCAAGTTCTGGGTAACTCTTGCTTCTGCCCAGGTTCTTTTGTCTCTACCCTCTCTTTCTCATTTTTCTTTTCCACTTTTTCTTCCTCAAGAAGGTCATTTAATCAAGTATACCCCACATAGGAGTAATTTAAACAAGCTTACCTCTTTACTAAAATCGGCACCACTAACTCTGTACATATTTCCGGAATGATCCACTATGTCCCCAATCCCGACTGTTAACAGCCAATGATATTTAGTTCCCTGTTCACAACTAAAGATGTCTTGGTCTCTCACAAAACACTATATCTGTATAGCACATTCTCACTACTGTAGCTCATGGCCAGAGGTTCCAAGAATGACAGACCACAAGGAAATCATAACTGCAATACAGGAGTTAGAACACTGTTCTTGTGAAAAAAATTCCACATAAACTGTAGCGAAATGGTGATTTCTTTAAAAAGCTGTCACTTTGGTATAAAGATGTAACTGATGATTTAGTGCTCCATCCATGACATCTCAGAGTGCCTTTCAATTTGAGTACACATCCCTCTATGATTTTTTGCTTTGAAACAGATACAAATGTATAAACACTGCAGCATTTTGCCTTGTGATCAGCACAGTTGCCCTCATGTCTTCCTAAAACATTGAACTGAGCCTCAGTGTCACAGATTCTGGCACTGAGCATGGCATGATTATATCTTTGCTTGGCTTCTTTCCCTTCCAGACTCTACTTTCCCATTCTTCCATGTCTGGCTTGGGGATGCTTTCTACTTAATCACTTTACCAAGATTTTTTGCACTGGGACCTCCTTCTGTAGAACCTGACCTCAGACAAAGCATATTGTCAAATTATTTTGAACTGTGAATTTATTGCTTTGACATAGAATAATGAGCAATCTGTTGCATATTTTGGAATTTTAAAAATCAGTCATACAAACTTCTGTTTTTCAGGCAGAGAAGTTGAGGGAGAAGAAGAATATCTGGAGATCCTTGGCATCACCAGGGAGCAGTCAGGCAAATATGAGTGCAAAGCAGCCAATGAGGTCTCCTCGGCAGATGTCAAACAAGTCAAAGTCACTGTGAACTGTGAGTATGGCAGCAGCAGATGACACATGTCCAGGACATACCTCCATCTCCTCAAGATCCCATTAGCAAGGCATCACTGCATTTAAAACAGATGCTTTTCTGGTGAGGGATGCACATTTATACAGTGGACACATCCAAGGGCAGGACTTGGCCTTTCTATTTGATAAATCAACTCCACCAATTGTAAATATAACCCATAATGCATTTAAAATAGCCTCTGTCTTTTGCTCAGACTGCACAATTATATATATATATATATATATATATATATATATATATATACTCAAATAATCCTATTCTGGTCTGTGTGGACACCAAGGTTATATTATCTTGGAAAAAAGCAACAGCTCAGATCTGCTTTAGCAAGAATTTCTATCTCAGTGCATTATTTGTCAGAATGCAATGCCCTAAGATTATTTTTTATCCACTACTGACTAATTAATTGGCCTGGGGAACATAGTAAAGCACTATGGTAAGATACACTGTATCCCTGATGGCTAACAGGGATGCCTGATAAGTTAATTTTAGTTATCTATTTGTCCCAAAGTATGGGCATTAGGAAGGAAGATTTCACTAAGATGCATAGGTAAGTGGGCATACTTTGAACCTCTCAGATGAAAGATTCCTTAGATGTAGTTCAAAAAAAGAGAAAGGGAAAGAGGATCTATAAGATGTGTCACCCAGCAAAGGAAGAAAGAGAATTTGTTTACCTTATTCAGTTAAGAGAGTCTGTCTGTATCATTCAAATTCAAGTTTCTGCATCATACAATTGTGGCTAATGATGAGGATGAAGGAATATCCTGAAAATTCTCTCCTTTTATGTATTTCACACATACCTATACACCACACACCCAAATCCTGCAGAGCACAAAGGCATTCAGAGGCACACACACACACACACAAACACATTTTAACCCACACTTGAAAATATGCGTTAGGCTCTGATGAGTTACATTTTGTTACATTATATTTTCAATACACTCACTTGTGTGCCAGAAAGTCTCCATAAATTCTGTAATTTCTTAGTGAAATATTAATACTTCACTGTATTTTAAAGTTTGAGAAATAAGAGCCCCAGAAACTAAAATTGTCTATCCAAAGCAACACAAAAAACAAATGTAAGAAAAGAAATTCAGTCTCGTGTCTGTTTCTAAAGCCCATGCCTCGGGAGGAAGGGTACGAGGAGTTTTGACTATTCGTACCTGTTATGTGCAGCCTGGGACTAAGCGGTGTACCTTTGTTCTGTTTTCCTGTTGCATTGTGTTAGTGCTACCTGACAGTAGGATTTGTTTTGGGAAATTGGTATATACATTTAATATATGTTATTCAATTTCAACCCTGTTTCCACTCTATCCCTTTCCTTCCATAGTTCACTAAGTTTAATTAATGCTCACAGTGAACCTGTAAGATAAGTATCACCAACATTACTCTAGAAATTTGTAAACTGAGGCTTAGAGAGTTAAGGAATCTTGCTCCTGGGGGTCCAGTCTGCTCTGGCACATGCTGTTTCCCGAGGCCCTGCTCCAGGCTTTCTGCCTTCTGAAACAGGCAGTGGAATCTCTTTCACACTGTGTCTAGAAAAATACAACGTATTTCACATATTTAGGATCCTCATTTCCAAGACCAAGGGACCACATTTGATGAGCTGTAAAGTGCTTTTATCCCTAGTTGTCTCTAATTTGTTTTTGTTAGTAATAGAGTTTTGAAATGCCAGTATTACTATTCTTTTCCAGTATGGGGTGTGTTTCAAAGACACATTAATGATCTCAATGTTATAAAATGCTTTAGGTCCTTTTTTCACATGAAAGGCAATTTCTCTGGGTGTTTATATAAGTTTATAATTAGGTTAGTTATCTTCTTTTATGTACACATAACCATGCTATCATCTTCCACCTTTTCTGTGACTTTTGGAGTAAAGATTTCATTTTCTCTTAATTGACCTTCAACTTAATTAGACTTCTGAAAGTCCAATCATAGAGTAAATAGAAAATATTTATGCTTCCATTGTATGAAACATCAAAGTGGTTTGGCTTACAGATGGTTCCCAAGATCAAAGCTAGCCGCCTGGGCTCTATTATTATTGGAGCAATTAGTCTGACATTGCTCCTTCTTCAATGTCCCCAAAGTGTAATTTAGAACAGAAGAAAATACTGCTAATTTTTAAGAAAAGATTTTCATGAAAACGTGAGCTTTTACAAGAAAATAGACAGGATATAAAATGATACCTCGTAACAAATTATGTAGAAAACTATATGAGTTTAATCCAACATCCACTGTGTCCTAACCAACAGGACCAACCACATGCCTGACCTTATAAAAATTGCTCAGTAAATTTTTACTGAAAGAATAGGTTAAAAAAAAATCTCAGAGGCAAAGCTGCCCTCTTAAACCTTTCTCTAAACTTTATAAATGTTGTTTGCTACAAATCAGAAAGAATACTCTAATATCATTTCTCTTTGGAATCACCTTTGAGCACAACCATAAACCAAATCACGTTTCCACTATATTGAAATTAGACATCATGCCAGTTTTCCTGTTTAAAAAACCTACATACAGCTTTGTTCTGTAGATGAACTTCCTTGGTTCGAATTATGGAAAGATCTCCCTGACAAAATCTCACACATAGACAAATATTCAGGATCACTTTTGCATTTTGAACTTGCTTACTACAAAAATGCACCATTATTTAAATTGATTTTTCTTCTTTTTTAAAACATGGGGTTTGGAATTAGATGAGAGAATCAGCACGGCTAAGGTAATTTCTGACTGGAGAGATTATGGTAAAGAACAGACTCTGAGCACCACTGGAAAAAGAAACCCTAGCACTGATTACTTTTTTCCACTACCCCTTCACTGATTCATTTACTCAGCTGCCAACAGATGTTTGTTGGGAGCGCTGAGAGCCTAGTGCGCTGAGGAAGAGAGAAATAACAGTTGTTCCTGTTGAGCTCACAAGCTGGATCCTGTGGTCTCTCTTTTTTACTTCTGTGGCATAACCCTTCTCTGTGGTAGGCCTACAGTGTTGCACATCACATTTTTACACTCAGAGTCTATTTTCTACATGGTGGGAGGTCTGAAATTTATAGAGAGATAAAGTATTAGCCTAGAAAGCTCTTCAATTAAATAAGCTTAGTAAAATTTATGAGATAGGATCCCTGGCTTCTTATATTTTACTCATAGTCTTGCAGCTAATTTCTTCCAGACACTAGCCCTAGGGACACCCTGTCCTTTCCCTGCAAGTTCTAGGTGCAATATCTCAAATTTCATTCCCGCAGTGCATACAATGTGTACTTATGAGTTTTGTCTCACTCCAGTGCTCAGTATCCCTAGGATAATATCTACTGCATAGCAAATGCTCAAAAAATACATGCTATTAATTTTATTTGCATTCTTTCTACATTAGAATTCTTTCCTATTCCTGAAGAAATTTTTCTCAGAATTTACTCCCAGCTCTCAAACATGCCACCTCGGCTACGACAAGCAAATCTCCCCATTTTCTCTAAAAATGTTCACAAAATCACTCCTTACAACTTCATTTTCCTCTCCTTGTGTCCCTTATCACTTCCCTTTGCTTCATCCTGGTATCCAGAATTAACCAACCCAACCCATACAGATTGGGGGCTAAGGGAGAGCATGGGGCACAGGTATTTTTTTTTTTTTTTTGGCTTATGCTTACGTTTGGTAGCCATTTATATAGAGGAAGCGGAGGTAATCTCAGAATACACAGCTGCGTCTGGAGACACCTGTTGTATTCAGATAATCCATGTGTATCTAACTAGACTCTTCATTGCTTTAAATAACCACATAATGAGGAAAGCTTAGGGAAATAACCGCGCAGTATGAAATGAGACGATGTAAAAAAGCCACCATTTCTAGGTAATTGTAGTTACACCAATCCAGTTCCCATACTGACTATTGTATTATCTTGAAAGATATAAGTAAAAACACATGCTAGAATTTTTTAAATTGCAGTGATACCTTGGTTCAAAAACTTAATTCATTACACAAGTTCAGAAAAGATGGCCACATTCAAGTTCATGCAGGAAAGATTACCACAGTCGTGTTTGGCACCCAATACAGAGTTTGCAAACAGAAACAAAATTATGTCAAATGCTTCTGTTTGCAAACCAAAATTTTCACAAACAAAATCGTTCATAAACTGAGGTATCACTGTATTGTGGTATCTTTGGAAGCAATTTCAGTAAAAATACAGTGTGAAGATTTTCTACCATAATTTTGCCATATGGAAAAGAACCATGATTTTTCTGAGTATCTAAGAATACATTGCTTATCCTAGAGATTTTACATAAATTCACTATGATCATTAAATTGACATTGGCCAATTATATGGAGAAATGTAATGGGCATGGTGTGCCCCAGAGATGAAGAATATTTACTTTATTATAGATTGATTTGACACATTTAAGTAGTTAGTGCTGGTACATACTTAAGTCAGTCTTATTGTTTCCAAATTCTCTGCAGACAGTGCCTTTCTTATTGCACCCTCTGCCTCGCTGCCCTGTTACACCACTGCACACTAACTTTTGTGGATAATTTCCATATAGAAGGAAAAATTCAAAGCTTAGAAAATGTAAGCATTACCCACCACAAAATGTGCATGGTGGACTTGAAATTCTAACTCAGGTCTAATCTTGAATCCTCTCTTCTTCTGTGACACGTGAGGAATAATAATAAAAGGGAATGAATGCCACCACTTTAGATATTGAAAGTGCTCTCATATATATGATTTAATTTTATATTTATATCAAACCTGTGAAATAGGTAGGCAGGTGTCAACATCTGCATTCAGAGGTAAAAGTCTGAAGAGCAACATGGCTTTGGTAGCAATCTAAGTGGCAGAAGTGGAAATTGAGTTAATAAACCACAAAAGAACAGACCTCTGCTATGGTGTCATGTTAGAAATAATAGAAACAGTGGAGTCTTCCATCTATGAACTTACTTTTCTATAAGAAATTTCCTAGGCTTTGAAAGAGAAAACCAATTGATCATTGACTTATATCATCCTTTCCAAGATTGCTGTGCTCAGCAGCCAGACATGATGGAACATACCCATAAGGAGAAAGTCACAATTTCAACCTAATGAGACCCTGTCTCAAAATTTTAAAGGAGTGCTGGGGCTGTATCTCAGTAATAGCATCCCTAGGTTCAATCTTCTACTCCCACAAAACAACGAATGCTCATCCCTAGTTTTTTGGTAGCTTCCTCAGGTTAAGACCTCTGTTAGACTAATGAGTAGCTTGCCATCTACCCATTTAGGTCCCAAATAAACTGAGAAATATGTAAATGAATGTTTTTGGAGATACAGGCCTTTCCTGTCCACTGAGATCAAGTGGTCAGACATAATAGCTTAGTGTGTCTGACTTACCTCCCTGTAATGGCCCTGCTGAAGTAGGAAACCTGTCTACATGACAGTGGGAAGGAAAGAGGCCCCAGAAACTTCCCGCTTGGAAAAACAAAGAAGAATGTTTGTTTCCTGCCAAAACTTGGTTCAAAAGGACCAAATGTGCCAAACAAGCTCAGTTTAACTCCCAAATTTTTCAATCAGAAGAATCACTGTGCTACCCCCACCTCCAAGAGCAGTAGGCGTCAGAGCAGTAGGTGGGACTACATACGACACAAAATAAACATGCATGGAGGAACTCTCCAGAGAACTGTGCACCTGGCAACTGCGTGTCTATTCCCATTCATCATACAGAGGACTCACAGGTATCTACCATCTTAAGAAATCCCAGTTCGAGCGTGCCAGAGGTGGTGGTGCAGGAAATGCAGCATCTTGCCAGGTTGAGGACCACTTCAGTAAAGCAAAAGTCATCATTCAAGATTTGTGAGTTACAAACACATGCTTGTACAAATTCATTAACACTTTCTAAGCATCTTTTCACATATTTGTAAAATTTAACAAACCTGGAGAATCATAAGCAAAATTGTCTTTCCAGAGAACACAGGTGGACCACTGTGCTGCAAAGGGTGACAACATGCATTTCTTACAAACTTAACACAGTGGAAACTAGGATGAGCAACAAATATTGATTGTTTTACCATCGGTTATCTTCATCTTTGCTTTATCTCAAAGGGTGGCAATGCCTAATGTCCAGTCTGAAAACCTGGGTGTTATGCTTTTGATTGTCTTTCTTTACTTCCCACTTCATGTCTAATCCATTGGTGCTCTGGTCACTTCTGAGGCTTTGTGTATCTCTAATCTGTCCCTTCCTTTCAGCCACTTTATCACAAATCTAGTGCAAGATAACTCTGAATTCCTTCATCGGATTCCAAGCATGCCTCCCCACTGCTGAATCCAACATTTTGGTGAGGACATACATATTGGTGAGGAATCCAACATATTAGTGAGGAAACTGAAGCAGTCTGACTGTGTGCAAAGTATTAAACTCACTTATGAGGAAGAGCCATGATGGACAGAGCCTAGAGATGAGCTCAAGTTTATCAAATTTAAATATCAGCTTATAAACTCTCTTCTATGCTCTAGTCCTGCACCAGTGCCTCTCTCTTATCAATGCAACTATCGCCAATTCTTACATTATCCTTTGAGCTGATTTAATCCAGTGACCTACATAATCCATCACAGAATGACTTTTAAAGTGGATTTTAATGATAGTTTTATAACAACTCCTTATTTCAAAGTAAAATGCTCACAGTATTATAGGTACTTGCCTAAGTCTGTCCCCACATAGGGTAAAATATGAGATTTCATATTTCCCATTCCTGACTGCAAGTCCTGACTCCTAATCCATGGAATGGATAAATGAATTATAATTTTCAAAGTTAGTAATTTCAAGTTAAAAAGAGTTAAGGGTATGAAAATGCATGCTTATAATGATATCAACCATTCATTTGTGAAGACTGGCCTGCTTTACCTAGAATTTTATGGCCAGAAGGACTGCTATGTATCATTAAAGAATGGTGCTCTCATTTTACAGGTAATAAAACCAAGGCCCAGCATATAGAGAATGAAGTGGGAGATCCCTGCAGTCAAACAGGAGTTATAGGCTGTGACTCCTACTTCACTGTTCAGGGTTCTTCCACTGTCTCATCTCCCCATCTTCAGCAATAGCAACATAAAAGAGCAGACAGGTCCAAAATGAAACAGTAACAACAAAAGCAACAACAAAACCGCACTCCAGTCTGCTCATTTACTTAGAGACTGACAGAGTTTTTCCAGATGCATTCTCACTGTTGTCTATGATAATGACAGAGATTCCCAAGATGATGGAGAAGGAGTTTCTGGCTATTTGTAAGCCATTTTTATACTCAGATGATCAGTTTTCTATAGACAAAAAACTTTTTTAAAAAATCAATTTCCAAAGGAATAAAATCAGAAATAAAATGGACCAGATGCTGAAGAGCAGTTAAATGACTTTTTAACACCAAACCTCACTTTATGAATTCCCCTACATAATGTTTTCCTCTATAATGTCCAGATGGATGGCTTCGGTGTATTGTGTACACATTTGCATAGCCAAGCTGCCATTTTCTGACAAATAAATTTTGAACAAAAAAGTCCTTTTCTTTTTTTTTTTTTTAACTTTTTATCGGTACCAGGGACCAAACTCAAGACCGCTTGCTTGCAAGGCAGGTGCTTATGCTGCTGAGCTAAATCCCCAGCCTTTTCTTAAAAGTCCTTAACTGCACAAGCTTCCTCAGACCCAAGCCTTCACGTCTCTCATTTTATCTTCCTCCCATGAACCTGTAGGACTGTTCGAAAGAATCATGGCACAAATTATGATATCAGATATGTTTCTGATCTAGTTGCAAGCCCCTGTAGTTTTGTAAACTCAATCACAGGCAGAAAAAAATTAAAGAATACAACTGTCAGTGAGAGTATAAGACTGATAGACAAGGAATTTTTCTGTATGTTAAGATGAATGTCAAACTGAACCCCATTTACAAGAGAAAAATTTACTGGGTCACAGTAACAAAAGCATACAGAGAAGAAATGCAACAATCACCTAATGCAAGCTTTGTGTTTGTTTCTGATTTCCTTCAACAATATCAAACTAATCTCGGGTTAGAAAGCTTTATCCTCCCACTATTTTCATCAAGCTGTTCAAACCCCATTCAGACTGTAGTGATAGTAATGATGATAGTGAATTAAAAAGAAAAATGACCAAATTATCCATATATCATCCCACGTCTTACAGTATCACTGCTTAATTAGTCAAAAGAAAAATATTGCAAATATTATAAGTAAAATATCTAGTAATTTTTTCAGGAGACAAAAAGACATCCTGGTTCCATTTCCATGAAACTTTGTTAAATGTCTCATTTACATTAACTTAGTCCTCTAGTGATCAGCTCTTCCCAACAGATCCTATGATTCTTGTGAATGGGACTTTCAGACAAAACTTTCCCTGACTCCCTCCAATCGACCTGTCCTTCCTAATTCCTTCTTGAATGCAAATGTTGGAGCAACATCTGGTTCTCATATAAGCCCATGTGTCTGTCATTTCTGCAGATCCTCCCACTATCACAGAGTCCAAGAGCAACGAAGCCACCACAGGGCGACAAGCTTCACTCAAATGTGAGGCCTCGGCAGTGCCTGCTCCTGACTTTGAGTGGTACCGGGATGACACCAGGTAGGTGCCAAACCTGTCATGTGCTCCATGAAGGAACCAGAAAGCAGTGGTAAAGGCACGCCCAGTTATGATTATGTAAAAGTAAACTATTCATCTCTTCTTTTTAATACCTGTATCAAGTGCTTTGGGACTTGTAACTCTTGAGCTGAAGTGCAGAAACACTCAATTTAAAATTAAAAAAAAAAACGAAGCACATGATTTGATGCATAGTTTCCACCTGTGTATCATTCTTGCCTATAGGAGAAACTCCAGCCCAGTGGGACCTCCATTCCTAATGAGTCCTGATGTCTGTGGATAGTCATTGGTCCTGGTAATAAGAATTGTGTAACTGAAATGAGGAATTGAGCAGAGACTAATCAAAGCTATGTTTTCCTTTCTTTTTCTTCCTGTACAAAGATAGGGGAGGAATTACTAAATTGAAATTGCCATCATTTTTCCTTGTAACTCTTCTGTTCTTGAATTCTTAGGATAAACAGTGCTAATGGCCTTGAGATTAAGAGCACAGAGGGACAGTCCTCCCTGACGGTGACCAACGTCACTGAAGAGCATTATGGCAACTATACTTGTGTGGCTGCCAACAAGCTGGGGGTCACCAATGCCAGCCTAGTCCTTTTCAGTAAGTATGCCAAGCAGTGCCTAACTCAGCATAATGAAACTGGTTGCACTGTTTCCTGGAAATGTGATGATCACTCAATTACATATTAAAGGTAAATTTGTACAAAAATAAAAATATATTCACTGAAATCAAAGTTCAGAATTCTCAATTCCTGTATACAGGAAAATCTTACAAAGTAACTTCTTTTTGTCTTCTCTTATTTTTTACTTTTTTTCTTAGTTTGGTTTCTTCCTGAGGGGTTAACCGAAACAATATTCAGGGAACAAGCATTTCTTTAGTAATAGCCTTTTTTTTTTTTTTTTTTTTTTTTTGTGGTAGCCTCTTTAAGAAGCAGAGATGATATAAGAGTACGGAAGTGGATGACTGTTAAAAATTTTCAGTAATGAGGGTGATTGAGGAAGAAATATTTAATTTTAATAAATTAGATACTTGGAGAAAGGCAGGCTAGAAAAGGAAAGTGTATATATACAACACAAAAGGAAGGATGGAATGAATGATTAAAACATTACATAAAATTTAAAGAATAAAAATAGAGCTGCATAAAGGTTTCTATGTAACCATATGATAACAGGAAAAATATTATTATTATTATTATTATTATTATTATTGCAAAGTAATGGAACAGTGGGAGAGGAAGCATTTCTGAAAATCTGAGATTCTGAAAATTGACTAAGAACTCAGTGATCCAAAGTTACTGATGTTGAAAAGAGGCCATTTCAGTGTCCTGCCCTTTGGTAGCATGTGACAGTCAAGATTCTGACTTCCCAGCCTCGGTGGTCAGGAAACAATGAGCATCGAAGTAAAAAACCCCACAGAGATGGAGGATGAGTGGGGTCAAGAAAAAATGATAATGTTTGGGGACAGACATGTTTATCAGAATAAGAAAAGCAGACAAAAAGTTAGCACACGCTGAGCCAGAAAGCTCATTAGATAGAGTAGATAGAAAGGCCAAAAATATGCTATTATAGTTCTGGAATAGCAAACTGCTACTATTTTTTTTTCTGCATACTTTCAAGTGGAAAAAAAAAAAACTATGGCCTGGAAAGATGTTTTAATCTTGTGTAATTCAGCTTAGATGCATCTTTGAGGAAAAAAAATATATTCCTTAAGAAAAATCAATTTAAATGAGAAGTCTCTTGAAGTGCAGTACAAAAGCTACATTAAATCTACTTAGGAGCCAAATCCATGTATGAAAAACAACAACCACGCTCCCATAAATGTGGCCTTGAGCTTCTCCCTCAGTCTGTGGTAGTGGTAGTTTGATAAGACACAGCTATCTAAACGCTGCACTGATAGGAAGTGTATGAGAAAGACTGCACGATTATACCTTTGCGTTAAAACATGTTTTCTTCCATCGAGAATAATTATATTAATATTTCAAATAGTAAATAAAATGCTGCCTCTAAACTAAGAGAAAGAAAGAGGAAGGAGGGTTAAAGGTTAGAATTCTTGGGGAGAATTGGGGAGAGCAAAGGTGTAGCTGGGGGCATGCAATTATATTTGGTGTTAAGCTAAGGTTTCCTGTGTGTGTCTGAAAGCCTCATCAGTGATCACACATGAATTATGCTGAGAGGTTTCCATTGGTGTCTAGACCATTGCACTGAAGGACCACCCTGAGTAGTACAAACTTTATTTAGCTATACCAGTGAGCACAGGACTGGGTCACAGATAATGGAGATACTCTAGAGATTGCAGAAAGTAATCTCAAGCACTGTAATACCATTGCCTTACCACAGAAGTCCATTGAAAGGTCTCAAACCAATAAAGTTAAGTAATGTCAAGAATCTTACAAAATTTCTGCCAGTAAACTGAGAATTAGAGAATCAGGCTAATGTGACATAATCATGTTTCCCTTGAGAATTAGGGAAAAGTCACCCTGAATAAAGTATGGAAAAATGCATGGCATAGGTGTTAATGATGTGCTACCTCTCTGTGAGCTCACACTGCCCTTTACACAGCTGCCTACATAAGCATCAGATCTGCACCTTAGCAGCACAGGCAGCGTGCATATCAGAATTTGGCGTGGATGTGATTTCTCACCTTATGGGAAAAGAAAGATATGGTATGTTTACTGAAGAATACTATATGAAAGTTCATTAGGCTTTGAGATGAAAAGAAACTATGAAAATCGCAGAAAATTAGCGAATCAATATTTCAGTTTCTTAGACTCAAAGCTAAGAGTTCTGTTTATTTTGTAACAAGAATGACAAACCCTCCACCCAGCCTCCCATTGCCATTTGGTTGGCCAAGGGCCTTGCTATAAGCTCTATAGTTGCAGCCTTGAAGATGCAAAGTGTGCTTTATGGTAGCACAATTTGCATGAGGCAGAAAGGCGAGGGGGAGAGAAAAGAGGAGGTGGAGTGAGAGAAAACAAGAAAGAAGGGGAGAGAAAAGAGAAGCAGTGGGGTGAATGGGAAGGTGAAGACACTAGGCAGACGTTAGTGGTGGTGCTTCTCCTCAGAACAGTGTCAGAGCAGGCTCTGCAGCCAGCAGACCTAGGAGGCGCTGCGTGGGCAGCAGGGTGTTCTGCTGACCCAGCCAGTCCCCAGCAGATGAGGCAGCTGGTGTGCTGCTGCCAGCCAGAGGCTGCAGCAGGCAAAGACTCAGAGCCAGAGCCCTGAAGATTCGCTGTGATTCGCTGCACTGGCGTGTCAGCACATTCTCAGCCCTGTCCACTGTAGTGACATGCTGACTTTTTGTAGTGTCAATGTGTGATTACCTTGTCCTCAACAACATACATACAGTTCTCCATTCTCTGTTCAAATACTGACTTTCAAAAGGGTCAATATAATTAAATGAGAGCTCCAGAAAGCATTGTATTCATAGTAATTTCTTTCTAAGCTAGTGAAAGCCTATTTTCCTCGCTTGTCTTGTCCTTCACACATCCTAGCCCTCTGTCAAGATTAGTCTGTATAGTACCTCAGTTCAGGAACTTAATTTGCTTTTTTAGAAAAGATAGACACAGTGTTCTTGTGCAGGAAAGATGGCTGTGGTTGTGTTTGTCATCCAATGTAAAGTGTGCAAACAAAAACAAAATTTTGCCAGGTGCTTTTGTTTGCTTACTGAATTGTTTGCAAACAAAAATGTTCATGAACTGAGGTACTGCTAGTTATTTAAATAATGCCTTTTGTATATTTTTCTTTACACCTGGGATGAATGTTAGCTTAGATATTTTTTTTTTTTTTCTGAATGCATGAATCCATCGGCACAAGGCAGAAGGACAAGGAGTCAGCTCCTTAGTCTGTTCAGACATGGGAATGTATATGACATAACCAGAGATTCGGATTCTGGTGCTGCCAAGAGGTTCCAACATCTGCATCTGTAACAACAAAATCATGTTTCACGCTGAGGACCAAGTTGTACTTACAAAACTGATGACAGGTTTCTCTTTTTTCAGTGCTTATGCTGAGTTAATTTTAATGCAACAAATAAGGAGAAATAAGGATGTTGATTTGAACGTTCTCACTTCTTACCTAGTGTGTGCTCACATTGTGCTCTCCTGTAAGCCTGCCCCAAATACCTCACATAAGTTTATTCAGTCCCCATAACAAAATTCCTATGCACTGTTCCCCAAATACAGAGTTTATGTAGTTACTGCAGCTTTAAACTGAGCTTGGAATTTTAATTCGAGTAGTACCTTTCTAGAATCCATTTCTGAGAGCAGTGTGTGACTTATATATGTAAGCAAAAATGGTAGAAGATGTGTTTTGAGAGTTATCTTTTCACTTCACGAGACCTTGGTGCTGGCCTTGCACTGCTGTGTTTCTTCACACAAGAGCATAACTTCTTCTGATACCCATTTCTATTCCCATTAACTCCTGTCAGTCTGGGTTCACTAGATTATTATTACACTATTACTCAACCAGTAGTCCAGCCTAGAGGTCTGGGCTAGGGAGAATATTTCCACATGTTAAAAGATAGTCTCACTGACCATTTCTTGTGCTGTAAGAAATGTGCACATTAGTGAGGTATGTTGAGGGTATTAATTAAAAAAAATAAAAATACAAAAAAACTGTATGCTGTACCAGTGTGTAGGAGGTATTTTTTCATTTTCTTTGTAATTTTAAAAGATCATTGATTTTGAACCAATAATTGACTGAACATTAAATATTATCTAAGTAACATAGCACTACAATGAGTCATTATTACTAGATCCACCTTTTTACTCTAGAAAACATTCTCTGTTATTATTTTAGGGCCTTGGTATTAAACACACACCATTCTCTGGTGCTGGTTAAGACTTGGCATACCTTTTAGCCAGATTCTTATAGAGACCACGTAATAAAGCAATCTGAACTGCTATTTGAACATGAACTTCATGTAGCTTGAACAACTACATGCAAACTCCTTTAAAGTGCTTTCTGTGATTAGGAAAGGAAATCAGTGGGCACTTGGAAAATTTTCAAGCATAGGCATCAAATTGGTTGACATTCAGAAAGAACACTGAACCTCTGTAATAGCCATTGGAAGATAAAGGAAAAGCAATCTAAGTTCACAAATGACCTCCTTACAAACTCCCTACCTCTGATTCCATTCTTTGTCATTTTAATTCAAATATTTCCTTGTGAAATGTAAATGTCCATTTAGTTGTTTTTCATGCTGTCCCACAGAATCAGCTAACAATGCTCTGCCCCACACCACCACCATGCATTTAGCCCATTAAAACATTATATATACATATAATATCTTGCTAAAAGCTATAGCTTATACAGGGCCAACCATGGATTTTTGTTTCCATCCCCTCTCACTGTCTACTTCACTATGTTGACCTCGAGAGTTCAATAGCAAAAGCAGTGCATAACGCCCAGTGTGTCCTGCCTTTGCCTATTTTTGAAATCAAAGAGTTGGAAATTTTCCTTTTCACTTTATATAGAATTTACCTCATTTTATACTCATAAAAACCCATAGATCCTGGCATAAACTATAAAGCAGAGGCAGAATAATGGTGGATAAGTAAGAATAAAAATCTGAATTGGGGAAGAATCTAAGGGGAACTAAGTCAAGAGGACTTGATACGCCTCCGATGATGATATCAGGGGAGAGCTAAGAGGGTAATAAGCAGCTGGGAAGCATTTAAAAAGACAATGAAAGGGGAGTGGGTAAGACAGCCTGGCCGCGCAAACCGTTTTCTGGAAATGAGGGCAGAGTGCACCCATCCAGCTGTGAATAGTGTGATGAGAAAATATTAAGCAGAGTTACTTAAGCAGTCCAATAATAATTGTAATAATAAAAATAAAATACAGTAGAAAGAGTATAATATGGGACAGTAACCTCCAACTGCTTCATAAGTGCTGCAAGCAATTTAGCTATTTATTTTCAAAGTTGAAAACGTAGAACAAAATATCCAGGGAGGGTTTAAACCATTTTTCTACTTGACACTTGTGTAACTAAGATACAATTAGTCCATCTTAATAGACGTTGAAAACTTTCACATTTAAGCTGTAACTAGAGAGCTCACACTGCTAGAGACCTAGGTTTTCTGTGTCTAGATGTATTTGAAGCTTGAAGACCAGGTAAACTGTACTCTTTCTAATCTTACATATAAGGAAGCAGGTAGATGAAGACCAAATATATGCTATGCTTACCTCTTCATGGGTTTGGTTGTTGTGGATTTTTATTTCTTATTAGCCAAAAAAAAATCTTCTAGGAGGAAGATAGAAATATGTGTGCTAATTATGTTACATTATTGTGTTCAGGAATAGAAAATAGTGCATTCTTCCCCTAGCACACCATTGCACCATATGGAAAGAGCCTTGGAGGAAGATTTTGAGTGAAAACTAGATTTTAAGAGTGTGTGAGTGTGTGTAACTTGAAGTATCATTTAGCGGCTCACTTACTTTATTTATAGAGTTAGTAGCTCAGATACCAGAATGTGAGAAACTTATAATGTTCAAAAGAAAAGTATTTCTTACTACTCAGTGGATGATTCATTAAATAAGCTAGATTAGTTGACCAAATTTCAGGTGAACCTGTATTATAACAGGAGCATAGGATTAAAAAATGGACCACAAATAAAATTATAACACTTCAAGAAACGTTTAACCTGGAAATTACTTTTGCATTAGTATCACCTATATGAAGTAAAAACCTGAGAAAAAAGTTAAAATAGTATTTCCAGAAATAAATTTTTTAGATGCTTGACTAATGCTGGTATTGGCTGTGGGGCGGAGGGAGACAAAAGAAATCTGTAGCTACGATAGTTCCATTTGTCTTGAGCTTAGCTGGGAAGAACCAGATCAAGATATTTCACTTGGATTGATTTGATCATGTCTATAAGCATCCTGTGTTGTAGCGCTCTAAAAATCTGCTATCTTGGTAGTGACTGTTTCCGGTAGAGAGCAGCATCCTGTAAGGCTCCGCAATCTGATGTTCTTTTCCTTAACTAGCTAAATCCATAATTTAAAAAAGGAATTTTATTTTTATTAATACCTCTCTTTCACTTCTGAATGGTAACAAGAATAACAGATAAATATTGTATAGGAAATATGATCCTTTAGGCATGGAAATTTTTTCTGCTTTGTAATTGTTTGCATAACCAAATTTGAGAAAGATATATATTCAAACTTTCCATGATGTTTGCTATTTTTCCCCTTCAGAGCGTGTTTTACCCACAATCCCCCACCCCATTCAAGGTCAGTATGATGTTTATCACTGTAGTTTGATTGATGGGTCATTCTCCAACATCTGTAATGTGCAAAGCACATAGAGGAAAACACACTCACGTCATTCACTTACAAAATAGTATTTTCCTTAGACAATTCAAAGGAACATGCACCCACAACCCTCACCACTTGATGAGCATGACTGGGGGGTCACTTGCCCTAACTTCTAGACAGTCAGTAGCTGGAAAGTAATGCTAACTCAGAAGGAAATTTTTTTCCTCAATATTTATTATAGGTGACAGTGAATTTATATATTTGGAACACAACCGTTAGGCTTCCTCGTCCACAAAAATACAAACCCTCCCACTAAACACCTTCACAGTCAGAGATATATACTGTATGAAGTTGAAGTCACTGATTATATTTGTAAAAATGAATTTATATCCTGCAAAGCATTAAACTTAACCAAATTTCAAGGATATTATGTTTCCATAATCTAACCAACTCCTGAGTTTTCTCTTTTAAACATAGCTACTTTAGAAAACACAAATAAAAAGACCCAAAATAGTCACCGTGCTTCCCTTTTTATAAAATTTCTACAGACCTGAACTAAATTTTGCCTTCTATATCACATTTAAATGCAAGTTGCAGCCACGACTTTCTTAGCTTAAGGCTATTTAAAGGCAAATTGGCAAATAAAATTAAAATAATGCAGAAAAAAATCTGAAATGAAACCAACCTACCATTGAAATTAAATTTCAGAAAAGTGATTTGCAAATAGCACTCAAGGACTTGAGAAAAAAATGGAAACTAGGCCATGCGGGGCCTACTGTGGAAAAAAATAAATCCAATTAAACAAGATTATCATACACACTATAAAGAAAATGTGCTCAGAATGAAAGGTAGAAAGCTCCTAATTTTTAAGTTTGAAGATGGATCATGTTTCATTAACACTTGTCCAAACTAAAAATTATAATCAAATTAGGTATAGTTATTCAAAGCCTCAATAATGCAATGTTTTGCATATTTATGCATCCATATATCCACAAATTTATTTTAATTACATTTGAAGTGAGTAAGGTTTGCAAGGTTTTCAGAATCAACAAGACAGATTAATTATTAAATTTTAAGGAAAGTCCAAACTATTATTTGTATAAAGGCTTAGAACTGTTGATTTTTTAAAAATTGCTAAAAACATTAAGGAACCTGCTTTTTATCCCAACCACTAAAAATAAAGCTGTTAAAAATGTGCTTATTTTTGATTTGACACAAGACGAGTGTTCATGGAAAATAGCTCTTCTTGAATTCCTGACATGCAACAATTATTTTAAGACACTTATCTTCTAGTGTTGCAGGAGAGATTGACATCATTTTATCATGTTGCCATCTTGCAGACATCTTGATACAGAAAACACACATGTACATTTGTCCCTGTGGATAAAATTTTCAAAGATGTCATGCCCCATTCAAGATGAGCTTTGTACAGTGCCACAGTGACTCTAGGTAGCCTTTTGAAAGGGGTTCTGTAGCCACAAACTCCAATATCTTAATATATACAATATCATAATATATACATTATGATATATGCAACACTGAACACAGTGAAACCAAATACTGTTCAAAGAACAGCTGTCAGACATTGAAAAACAGTCTGGTCTAGGAATGGAGCACAGGTTGCATTTTGTTGAATTTTATATTTTCCACAAACTGGATAGTTGATTGGAGAATGACCTAGTTAGATTTTATGTTGTGGGTAGACTGTAGTTCGTTTTCTTAGATCTGATAGTTTCTAGAGACTGTAGTTTATGTTACTACTAATATTTTGGGCTTCTGTTAGTGAAAATTGAAAAGCTGTTCATTGAGACTTGGGATTGCTGATGTGAGAGACTGCTACAGAAAAACAGCCACATCTGAGCGTGTGCTCAATGAGCGGGGACTTGCCTAGTATGCATGAGACCCTGGGGTCAATCCCCAGTGTGGGGAAAAGGGGCAGTCCTCTCTTACATTCCTTGCTCATTACTTCCTAGGGATCTAATCACTTTTCTAGAGGAGAAAATTTTCTAATCCAGAGGGCAACCCATATGAAATGCAGTTTCCTGTGGAAAGAACAGTGAACAGTACAATGCTTATGCCTTTTGCATGCCAGTTTATTACCTGAATATCTATGAAAAGAATGCCTCGCTGTGGTCACGACTATAGTGCGAGACTCTTCCATTTAATTAAGTATCGTACATTGTCATCATCTATGTTGGCTTCTAAACTTCATGTTCAAAACATTAACATATTCCTAATCAGTTAGTTGATACAAATGGCCTGAAAAATTTTGAAATGACCAATTTCCTTGAAGTATTTCAAAAATAAAAAGACACAAAGAACCTTTTCTGCCCACTTACAATACAAAACGGAAATTTACCCCCTGATTTCCAGCCTAATGGAAAATATGTTTTATGCCTGATGCTTCACTGTTAACATACTCAGACCAACGGTGGACAGTCCCCACTCTTAGCAGATCATCAAGCTGACTGGGGCTGCCCTGGAGAGTCACAGCAGGAACTGAATCCCAAACCCTTTCAAGCTGTGATTAAACAAAAACAAGGCTCAATAAATCAAATGCATTTCCCTTGGGCCTCTGTCATCATATTGCTTGATTTTCTGCAGCAATAATAATAATACCAGAATTATACCAAGAGATAACATGTGCTGGCTGTGGCCAATTAGAAATTTTCAAATGTCCTTTTCCGCTGTCCCCCAAAGAAAACAAGGCAAAACAATGGGTGTGCTTCCTTGATTCTCAATTTAAAGATACATTTCTTTAAAAAGTAAAATAAGTGGTGTTCCATCCTCGATCTGTTTCTGATAGGTGTTTTTCCCCATTAATTTTAATTTAGGTTTATTTATTCTGAAATGAGTCTTGAGTTGCATATATTTACATAAATTCCTCTGACTATATTGCTGTAGAAAATCCACTGAATTGTAAAATGAGGAAAGACTCTGCTCTTCATGTCTGAGAGAACTTTTCTCTCTTTGTTTGGCTCCTTATTTCCTAGGGCTCTGGATACTGGGCAATGATTCTCCCCATCAGTTTGTACCTCATCCTTCTTCATGAATGCGCCTAGAGGACTCACATGGAGAAGGACCATAGGTTCAGTCTGAGGTGCTGAAGCCAACCTTAGGGAGTTAAAATCAGTGAAAGAAAGGAAAAGGACAAGGACAAATCACCATTGTCTTGTTTATCCAGCTCTCAAGCAAAATTCCCCTGAGCTTGTAGCTGAGTTCCATCAGCCCATCATTCTCTGATCACTGACTCTTAAAAAAAAAGCAAAGAAAGACAGAAAATACGAAAGTAAAAACGTTCTGGAAAGTATCTCACTTGTTTGCCTCCCAATCTGATTATTTATCCCAAGTGAACAGCCTTTCCAATCACTAACCCTGTGTGGCGAGTGGGTCTGGGGAATGTGGAGATTATCTTCTAGGTTCAGGCAATGACGGGTTTGTTCACAGCTGCTTGCCATTCAGTCCCTGTTTTTCCATTGATAAAACACATTGCACATGGCTGGGTTTGCATGATTAATACAGCTGTCTAAAGCTCACTTTCTAAAAACAAAACCTTCAAAAATTAAAGTTGTTTTTTTTCTAAAGTCCAACTCACAAACAAGTCAGGCTTTTATAAATCTGAAGCCAGTCTGTTTCCTCCCAGAGGAAGACTGTGTTCTTGTAGGCGGGCTTGGCATTAAAACAATCAGAGGAGGAGAGATCCCCACCCCAAGGATGGCTCTGAAGTCAGACTCCAAAGTGATGGAAAGAAGAATGGGGAGAAATCCCCAGGCATAACCCAGGCTGTCACTGGACAGTCCCTACAGTTTCACTTTTTATTTTATAGGACACTATCCTGGGAGTCAGTTAAGAAATGTCTCTCAGCTCCTTACTATAATGGTAGTTCAACTTGTGCAACAATGGTAACAATAATTAATAATAATAACAATAGATAATGGGCTACTGGACTCTTTGTAAATATTAATTCAATTAATTCCTATAAACCTAAGAAAATAACATGGATTTTTCCTCAAAATTTTTAATGAGCAAAGCGTGCCCAAATTTCAATCTCCCCCTTACTATATACATCCAAGCACATATATAAATCTATAGTACATTATAAAAAACATTATGTATGCATTCATAATATTCAAAAGATACGGATTTGTCTAATGAATTTTAAAGTCACCAAGTTTATTTTACATATTATCATACTTATAGTGCATAATAGTTACCTTAATAACTGCACAATTTTACAGAGTACATTTTTAGATATGCCCAAATACAGAGACGTGTATGCCTATACTCACATAAAGATTTATATGAAAACATTAATCTTTTTAAAAACATGAGTAGAGCTATTTGGCATTGGCACATCTAATTTCACACACTTATTCAAACTGATTTACATACATACCACTATTAATCATAGATAATTACTAGCATTGTTCTCTGTAATTCAGTTTTTCCAACTGTGAAATGGGAAAGAAATTACATTTTTCATGCCTACAAGCTCAAAGTGGTATTTTAACTAATGTACAAAAGAGAATTTCAAATTCCTAGAAAGAAAGTATATTGGATTTAAAATAATCATGTTCAGAGACTCATTTCCTATAATTTTTAAAAGTACTATATTTAGAGGTATACCTATGTCATATTATATGAACATTAGCTAGAAGTGATTTCAGTTAAGTCCTCGTTATAGTTTGATGTATTCTGGATTATAGGGATGTCTGAAATGTCACACTGATAAGTTTTAAAGTGGAAGCATCATGAAACAAAATAAAAAAGATTTTTTAAACAGGAATGGTGCCACATACCCATCATTCCTACACTTGGAGGCTAAGGCAGGACGACTGCGTTACTTTGACTCCAACAAAGGCTACGTACTGAGTTAAAGGCCAGCCTGAGCCATGTAGTGAGACCCAAAGGTTTTTTTGGTTTTTCATTATTTTTAGTCAGCGTTATAATACTTCACATAATGGAGCTGCACAGTT